AAAGCACCGCCATCATTCAAAAGTGGCCAAACCATCAGCCAAAAAGCATAGGAACTGAGAAGTGGTCTGTGGTCAACTCCTGCAGAACCACTCCTTTATTGGGGATGTCTTGATAACTGCCTATGCTTTCCACCTGTTGTCTATTCCATTTGCACAACAGCATGTGGAATTGATTGTCAATCAGTGTTGCTACCTAAGTGGACAGTTTGATTTCACAGAAGTGTGATTGACTTGGAGTTACATTGTGTTGTTTAAGTGTTCCCTTTATTTTTTTGAGCAGTGTACAAAGACTGTAACACGCTATGCAGAGCCAACCTACAATACATGGTGCTCAACAGCAGCAGTAGAGCTCGACAGTGCAAGAACGTTTCTAATTGGAAAGCCTGTAACCAGAATTCTAATGATCCCCAAAGCCTTTTAATATTCACTTGATACACAGCGTGCCTGTCTATAAGTGTTCCCTGAGCTGGATTTCAAAACACCACCTTGTCTGTTGAAGAAATCATTGTTATTTGACAGATATTATTCTATGAAAACTACAGAGGAAACATTAGGAGCTGAATGACTTGAGTCCACCTGCCTACCTGCAGATGAAAAGTGATTTAGCATATCTGAAGGCTCAGTAAATGAAACGGGAGCTTTGAGTTTCTGTGATACAATTTTAGCTTTTTTTTCAGTAAACTAGTCACAATAAAAAGCCCAATCAATCTGGTACTGAGCCCAGCTCACAGTATGTCCCTCACGGTGATGCTTTTCTTTCACACTCCTCAAAGACCTTGCTCATGAACGGGTCGCTACACTCTTTTCAGTTGAATATTTTTGTGAGTATGAAAAGATGTTTTTCCAAGCTTAACTTGGCACACTGCCTTCCCCATGCTCCCTGGCCATCTACACACCTCCGCGCTACATTTATTTGGCTTCTTTAACTGTTTTAATTAGTGGCTTTTGTATAAATTGTTAGACATGCTGAGATGCAGCCAAAAGTCTGACAAAGGTAAAAGGTACGTGGGTTGAGGCAGCAAGAGGACTCCTAATCCTCTGTTCTTCTTCTTTGCCATGAGAGGTTAGAGACAACAGGTGTAGCAACAGAAAGGAAAGTGGAAGATGTAACTTTAAATTAGCAAAAAAACTGTTAAAATATGAGAAATATTCAGTGTAGGTGATATTCACCCTTTTGTAAAAAGCTCCATTCTCCTTCATTAACTGCAACACAAGTAAAAAGGGAATACAACTAAAGTCAAGAGTCACCTGTAGACATTTGTTTATAAACTATAACAAACTGACAGGTGTATTTTCAAATTGCCCATCACTCAATTTCTGTGAAGAGAGACAACGACAGCCTAATAGAAAAGTGTGAAAAGTAGCCAAGATGTCAAAATAAAAGTGAAGGGTACTCAATGCTTCTTTTTACACTTGTTATACATTTTATATTATGCTGTATTCAGTCATTTATTCAGTTTTCAGTGACTTCTCTCCTTGTTTTGCCAGAAAGTCCATGCTGTTGTTGACTGCTCTTTCCACATTTTTTGTTGCTTCATTTGTCTTATCTAATGTGTTTTTGTTGCCGAGTCTTCGTCTGCCCACTTCAGTCACCGCAGATCCAGCAGCTGCCCCAACAGCTCCACCAAGCACCCCTCCAAAAAACACACCAAGTACCAGACCTAGCAAAGCACCCCCATAAACCACCTTGGGCACCTGTTTAGCAGCCATTCCAATTTTCTCCCACACCGGGCTATCAGCCACCTTTATGGCTCCAGCTTTGGCTCCAGATCCCACCTTCTCCCACACCGGACTCTGTGCCAAAGTCTTTGCCCCGGCACCAATCCCAGCTCCAACACGCACTGAGGTATCTGCCATTAGTTTGGCCCCTGAACCAACTTTTCCCCACACAGGACTTGCTGCCGCCGCTTTCGCTCCGGATCCCACCCATGTAGACCCGTCCACCACTACCTGAGGAACTCTATCTCCTACTAGCTTGGACATATGCTCGACACTAGCTCCCAGCTTCTCCCACAATGAACTATCAATCACCATCTTCTGCATGTTTCCTGCTGCACTGCCAACTGTCCCCCACACCGGACTGCTTTTCACCCTCTCTGTTCCGTCACTGACCCACAGAGACTTATCTGCCCACAGCTGTGGAAGCAGCTTTGCACCAGACTCCATTTTCTCCATAAAGGAACAAAGAAGTGAAGGGGACAAGCTTGAGGGCGAAATAGGAGGAAGGCTCTCTATATTCATGGTGCTTACACTCATCTCTGCCTCATCCCTTGTTTTCTCAATCTCATCCTCTCTCACTTCCTCTTCTTCCACAGACTGCATGTAGGGATACAGTGACCCCCTTCCATAGCTGAGCTGGCTAACCTCTCCTAGTGTTCCTTGCTCTAACTTTTTGCCCCTTCTCTCCCTTGCTATCTCTTCCTGTCTCTGCCTCACTCGGTTCTCTGCCTCCTGAAAAGCAGGACAAGAATAACACTGTCCTCCGGCCTCCTTCACTGTCTGCTCCACCTTTTCGAGCAGCTCTGCCACATTCCTCCTCTCTCTCCCACCTTCCGTCTCCATCACATGAAACCTGTCCCCACATTTCTCCACGATCTTTAACAAATCCCCCCGCTGACTGGCAATGTATGCCTCTACATTGTTGTTTCTTGCCTTCCCACTCTCCCTTAGTCGATCCATGTGAGTAAAGAGGACCAGAGTGTGTCTCTGGACCGCTGCTGGCCCGAAAACCTTCTCAAGGGCCCAGAGAGTCTGCAGCTCACCCTGTGCAGGCTGGTTTAAGGGAATGCACAGGAGGAAGGCATGTGGACCAGGACTGGACAGGGTGACGCAGGAAGATATCTGAGCTCGCATCTCATCTGGCGTGCGCTCTGAATTGAACCAGTCTGGAGTATCCACCACTGCCACCTGCAGGTGAGACATATGCAACAATATCACAACACAATCAAGTCATTGGAAATTAGCCAGGTTGTATTGTTTTATGACACAAAACAAGAAAAAGGTGTCAAAGATTAGATTGTTTGAGACTTGGTGACAGCACATGGTGGAATGTTTGAAAGGAAACTGACAACAACATCTCAATAAACTTTTGAAACACTAACCCTTCTTCCTTCAACCAGCGCTTTCTTTTTCTCACACTCCTGAGTGATCGCTGTGAGTCTGCCTGGGCGTGTAGCAAACTCCTCCCGCCCCAGAATGATGTTGCCAGCTGTACTCTTCCCTGCTCCGCTCTGTCCGAGTAGCACCAGACGCAGCTCGGGAGAGGATGAAGATGAGGATGAGGGGAACGAGAAAGGAGTGTCAGCAAAGACTGATGCGGCGGGGGAGGAGGATGAGGGGAATGAGGAGGGAGACGGGGCGAAGGCTGGCAAGGAGTGGGAAGAGGAGGAGAAAACAGGTGAATGAAGAGAAGAAGTAGGAGATGTCTCAGGGGACCTCTCTTCAAAGCTGTTGAATCTGTGGTGAACTGAAAACAATCCCTTTGGAGGTTAATGTGGAACATTTAAGACAACTGTTTTTAAAATCAAACATCATAAATATGAAGAGATACAAGGCAGTAAAGTCCTGTGACTTACAGGTAGTGATCAGTTTTTGAGCTGATTTATCCTCAGACATTTGTGAGAGTATAGCTCCATCTACAGAGGAAAACCAATAAACATGAGTTCCGCTCAATTTCTGCTCATACTTTTCAGTGGTTGTTTTAACATGACAATATGATGTAGAACAAGACTGGATATCAAACTGGGATCCAGAGCCCAGTTCCATTTACCTGCATTTAGTCTGAAACTGGGCATCCTGTTCACCTCCCCGTCATCATACGACCCTGAATATGACTGTCGCCTTGGTTCT